AAATTAGCTATATCTAATCTATATTATTATTGATATTACCGGTTATCCTAATATTGTTTTAACATTTCGAAAAATTAATTTCCAGGGTGATAGTTTTCCATTCCTTATAATGGGAGGTTATCTCCCATAATGCATTGTGTTCATGTGCAATAACATGCTCAGTGGTGCAGCATTTTGAATTCAGCTCCAACAGCCTTTAAGTAATGCGTTATGAATTTTATATAAAAGTCAATAATGATCTCACTGGCAGAATAGATGTATCTACGAAAAAATAACCAGTGCCCTACTATTGTACATGTCGTGCGTGTGCGTGTGCGTGCGCGTGCGTGTATGTGTCACTTTGCTATACCTACAGGGAATAAATGTTGTAATCTTTATTGCATTCCACTTGATGGAGTTGGTCTGATCTGAGCATTGAACAGCCTTGCATGTATTAATGTTGTTATTGTCATGCCTGCAATTTCAAACAATAGTAATTCATCTTTTACTTGCCAATTTCAAGTGTTTTTCACTTAAATCAAGAGATGGGCTTCAGTCAGCCACCTGTGTATCTGTCTTTTAAGACAGGCACAACATTTGATTTGACAGGCTAAATGTTTATTAAACTGAAAATTCCCAGTTTTTACAAAACAGCGATAAATAATCAATGACAAATACAGACTAGCAACTATCATGTATTTCAATATACCAGTTATATTTCATTACTGGCTATGACCCTGCAACTCGAAAACCATCCAACTGATTTCAATAAAACTTGATACATAGATGCTACAGGTTAATACATATTCTTGATCACAGATAGTTTAGGGTTGGAACCCATGCATAAATCAGGCAATTTTCTGATGTCTCAATAACTGTTTCAGATTTAAAATAAATTTGTTGCATGAGTGCTCTGTAATATGTTCCCGTTGTTTTAATAAGTAATTACTGTTAGTATTATAAACTTCATTAATGTGTACCAGAAGGCTGATCTTAAATTCCTAATTATACACCGGTATTCTGTATTTCTTCTATACCTCTAATACTCTCTCAGCAGACTGATATCTTTCTAAGCTTTCTTTAATCTTACACTAAATATTTAAAGTAAAAATAGGAATTTTTTATATTATAGAGTGATAGCAAAAGTATCCTGACTGTCCAACTAGGACTTCATTACTTAAGACGAGTCCATGTTTCTCTGCTGAGCTTATCAGCATGTTGGGATCAAAACTGAGCATCAGACACCACACTGTGTTGTGTATGACATGGGTTCTATCCGATATATACCACACATGTGAAATAGTGTTTGTTGCATTATAATCATGCACTTTCCGTATGCTGGAAAAAAACACACACACAAAATGAGTTTTCAGTAAGGCCCATCATTACTTTTTAATTTTTATTGCATGTTTTTCTTAACATAATTAAAAGCTCTTTTAATTCACTAGATTAAATATAGAGCAATAAAACTTAGTTTTTAAATTCAATGGAAAATGAATCCTCATGCAGTGCACACAACACAGACAAATTTTAGGATTACATGTACTTTTCCTGCCTGCGGTAACTTGACAAAGTTCTTTTAACCTGCCTGCCTGCCTGCCTGCCTGTCTGTCTGTCTGACTACATACATGTACATTATTTGCTCTACTAGTCACACGTGCACTTATATCTAAATGACAGATGTTAAAATAGAACCCATTTTGATAATCCAGTGTACAATAAACGCAATGTTTAGTTATGTGCGTCGCTATTGTGGATGCACTTTTTACAGAGCAAATAAGGCATTGACCATTTGAAATTTTTGGGGTGCCTGGAAGATTTGTTGGGGGGGGGGGAATTGCAAGCCAGACGCCAAGAAAATTTGCACTCGTCTTCCATTCACCCCTATGATTATAAACTCTATAAAGATAGTTGCTTTGAAATGATCTAACAATCGTATGTTGAACAATTACAGTATCAAATATCAGTTTATTGTATGACATCATATATATTAAGAAGAATTATCATGACACTAATTTCGCAATTAAGCAAAAATAAAGATTTCATTTAAAATATAATTTATCTAGTTTAATGACATAATTGCCAAACACTGCATTAATTATTCACTGGGTTTTAATTTTGCTATTTTCTCTGATAAGTCATAGTCATGTAAAAGTACAATATAACTCATTGTTTGCTTTACAAATTCATAAACTTAAAACCTAGTGAATATGCTCAAAAGATCAAAGATACAATTTTGGGATTCAGGCTCGGCAATAGAGCAAATATAATACATGTAATGAAATATGTTCCATCTCTGCATTAAAGTAAAATAATACTATAAAAACAATTCAGGGGAAAAGTAATGATTCTTCATTTAAACCAAAAATTTGTCTGTGATGTGCGGTTTGTATGAGAGAAATGCGCAAAATGTATTCATTACAAATTATTCTTAGCTGAATTAAATAGTAATAAATGTACATGTATATACATCAATTTTCCACTGATTTTGGTGAATGTGAAATCCGACTGACAATACATGAATTTTAAAATCCAGTAAATATCAAGGGTGAAATTAAATCTCTGTGAAATCGAATGCTTTTACAGTGTATTGTCATTAATGCCTGTGGTGGAAATGAAGATTGAGATAATTAATAATATCACTGGACTTGCACACTCTCTCAGGAAAAAAAAGCTTTCATACATAGGATGTGTACATTGTAAAGATAATTTTGAAACTATAGAATGCTGTTACTGACCTCTTTCCTGTTCATGATTGTTTGTGATCCATCTTGTTCGGTTTTGATTTATCACCTACTTTGTCAATAATGCACATTTAAAAAACCTTGTAACTTAGGGCTATAAAATCTATAAATGTATATGCAGTATTAATATTAGCAGTCAATTATGTTGTTGGTGTTCGGGATATTATTCAAGCGATAATAGGCTTGTCTGAACATTTTAATCCTACACGCATAGATGATAACATTGACGGAGGAATTGGCAAATGCGAGTATTGTTATGAAAATTCCCAATGTTGTGTCTATCTGTACTCCTGCAGTTGTAATGATCATATACGGAAGCATGCAAATAGTGAACACAATGCATATGATTAAAACATTGGTTGCTACTTGGAACTCCAGATACTTGGCCTTGCTGCAAAGTACCGTGAGGTTTGGATCATTTAGTCATTTTGAACTTGATTTGATAGATTACAGACACGATTCCGATTTGTTCTCACTACTATATAAATGGCAACATAACACCACACAATACTGATATAGCATATGCTTAAACCAATTATATTGATAACTAAGACAATAAATGTCTCTGTTGGTACTAACGTGCAGAATTCGATCAATTGGCTGTGAGATTGCTGAGCGTTGTCGCAGAGTAAAAAAAATAGGGCATAACTGAAGGGTAGACACCAAATGAGAACGCACATGAAGACCGTTTTCTGCTTGCTGTACATGCTGTTGTAAAACATCAGCGGTTTGGTGATGTTGATGTTCCGGTTTATTGCTATGGCAACCAAACTGAGGATGGATGCCCCCATACTTGTAGCTGCAATGAATCCGATAGCCTTGCAGACTTGGCGCGAAATGAACCACCCTGGAAAAGAGATTCGTGCAATGTAGACAGGTTCAAGGAGAAAACACACAATCAGATCCACTATGGCGAGGTTTGCGATGAAGTAGTTTGGTGCGGTGTGAAGTTGCTTGGTTTTGTAAATTACCGCGATGGTGAGAGTGTTGCCGATGACTCCAAAAACACTGAAGATGATCAGCAGAGTGAGTTCGATCGTCAGATACAACAGATCCTGTTGATTTTCTAGTAAATCCAATGTGCTGTTGTTACCCATGGTATCGTTTGTCGACATCCTGAAACAATACACTTGTTGTCACATCAAAAAGAATCTCATCAACCCTGCATTCATTTTGTTTTCACTTTAGAAACATATAAATTAGATTCCCCTTTGTGCTCAATACAGCTTTTAATCCTAGATTAGGCAACCTGTGATTGGAGCTAAGCTCACATTACATATGTAGTTAGCTCAGCACGGGTAACTTGGTGTATTATTGCATATGGCAACACACATTAGATGCTATTGGACTTGTACAGCTCTTCATAGTTATTACTGGACTCTGAAAATGTTGATCTGTAATATCAAGAGAAAAGTACAAGGTGGAAAAATAACCACTGAAAATCTGAATGTTTTGTTTATTAAATCACATCAATTCAACTGCAGGAGAGAGTATCCATAGGGATTTTTAAATTTAAAATTGCATGCCCGCAGTGCGAGAAGCTGATTTTAATAACATTGCACTTTTGAAATGTGAATTCAAAAGAATAATCTGATGACACTAAAATCACTTTCACTTCACAATAACAGATTCAGTCACTTTTGATATTTCTATGAACATGTACATAAATGTTTATGGTTTCTGATACTAATTTATTGTCACATAAATGGGTAAATGTAATGAGAAAAAGTAAATGAATTTTTTTCTACTACAAAATGTACATTTGTTGTGAATGAAGGGATAGATTGTCAGTAAATGCTGTTAATAAAAAAAACCTTACCTTGTATCGATGAGAAGCTGGCTGTGTTGTGATGTAGCAGAAGCTGACTATGCTAGACAACGCTAGACAACTTAATATCGATGCCCAGGGGGCACAGCGTTGGTTGGTTTCATTCACAATTTTTTTTTTAAACAGTGAATAACAATGCTACTGTGATTTTGATCGCTGCATTGAATATATATTCGTTCATTGTCTGTGTCTTCACTCATGTGTATATCCACATAATTATTTACAGAAGTGATTAGAAAAAGGAGGGAAGAGACTACGAAACTCATCAAAGAACAAGAAGAAGAGATTGAACGACACAGGTTGAACAGACGAGGTGGTGGGGAAGAAACCAATGACGAGAATAAAGTGAAAGAGAGGGGTAGGAAAAGAGATGAAGAGAGTAACCATGGCAATGACATTGAAATGGATGATTTAGCTGAAGACAATAGCATAGATCTTATAGAGCCTCCCGTTGTCATGGCAACTAAGCATAATGAGAAAAGCAAACCCAAAGAAGAAGAAGAAGAGGAAGAGGAGGAAGAAGAGGAAAGCGGTATTGATGAGTCGGGTAAAACAGGTAATGTAACTGTAGATGAGCAGAGAGAGAGTGGGGACATGGTAGTGGTAAGTGGAAAGTCCAATGAAAATAGTGTTGAAGTCCGATGACGTGAAAGAGGAAAATAGTGAGTATAAAGAGGAAATGATGGAAGTAACAAATCCATGAAAATGTCATGGCAATCGCATCTCATTTCATGATTCCATTGAGGGTTGGTAAATTATAGAGAGATGATGCTGATTGTGGGGGGTGGTGGTAGAGAATTATAGATGAGAATATCGTGTTACAGATTAATTTCTCAAACTCTGTCTCTTTCACAGGTGTAAGTATAGCAGCTGTTCATCAAATGTTAATATTCTATTCTGTGTACTGGGGTCTAAGACTGGGAAAATGTATCTTGACCTGCAGTTTCTCCAGGGTTGTGATATCTTTTTTAGTTTATCCATTGCAGCATGTATAAGTGCTCCCCATCTATTTTAGTTTCACTTTTTACTGATTCCCTTCAATCAATTTGTATTAATGTTTCCTATAAGACCTCCCTTTCACATATTTTTTTCTTTGTGAAATTGGTACACTGAGAAACTATTCATAAACATTTTGTATTCAAATACAGCTGATTCATTTTTTTTTTTTTTACATGAAAACACATTTCTCAGTGTCAAATAATTTTATTTCGAATGAATACTGATGGTATTGTGATTATTTTGCCAGTTTTGGTGCTTATAGGATTTTGGTTTGACATTACTATGGTATACTGCATTTCTTCTAATGGAAGAACATGCATATAAATTAATATATAAAGGTCCCAATTGACGAGTGAAATCAATGCAATTAACATACATTGTTTATTCACACAAAGGTCCACATGCAATTTACTCTACAATGCAGGAAATAGGCTCCTTCTGCTTTAATATGAGTTTCTTCTAGTAGAAGAAATGCAGTATTCCATATGGGTCATATCCCAGTTTGTGTTGCAAGTGATAAAGCTGTGACATACTTGATTGTAGGGACTGGAATAAGGCAACTTTAGCATCTTCCTGCCATATTCAGTCTATTAAAAATTTTATTTTTTCAAACCAGTAATTAAAACCCAATTTCCCACTACATTTGAGTAATACTTGCTTCACCTGGGGGGTGTTCTGGCTGGCGAAATTAAATGGATGGTTTCATAACCCACAACTTGATAAACACTGTAAACTTAATTTTCTTTCAATGAAATTGATATGTGTTACTATGAGGGAAAGATTGTATTTATATTTGTATATTGCAGATTAACTAAACATAAAGAAACAATGGGGTGGGTGGGTGGGTGGGTGGGTGTG